TGTTCTACATAGTAGCTCCAGGCCAGAGAGGGCTACATAATGAGACCCTGTCTCAAAAGAAAAAAAAAAAAGGACCAGAAGCTAGGCGTGGTGACTCATACCTATAATTCTAACACCCTGAGGTGGTAGGATTGCTGCAAGTTCGAGGCCAGCCTGGTCTACATAGCGTGACGGATCAGGCCAGGCAGATATTATGTAGCAGGACCTTGTCTCAACCTCCCCCTTCCCAAAACCTTGAAGTTCTTTTTTTGGTGTAATCTTGCTTAAAAATCAAATTTTTACTTTAAATTCTTTTTAAAAAATATTTTATTATTTTTATTTTATGTGTACGAGTGTATTGTCTGCATGTATGTGAGTGCACCTGTGTCGTGCCGTGGAGGTCAGAAGAGGACTTCGGATTCCCCTGGAATTGGAGTTAAGGATGGTTCGTAGCTGCCATGTGGGTGCTGTCCTGGGGATCTGACGGGTGCACTTACCTACATGCAGGCATAACATTCATACACATAAAATAAAAATAATAAATAAAATATTAAAAAAAAAAGATTAGCAGAGACTAGCCAAAAAGGAAGGGAAGACAATTCTAGGGAGAGACAAGTGTGATGGCCCAGTCCAGGAAATACTGCATGTTTGAGAATCGGAAAGCAATGAGAGGACCCCACAGTGTGGGAACTAGGAGAAGGCAGAGCTGACCAGGTAGGCTGGGGACTGAGTGGGAGGCTTTTGTAGGCTACATAAAAATGTTTGTACTTTATTCTAACAGCAACAGGAATACATTAAGGGATTTTTAAGTGGGAAAGTGGTCTCTGGCCTTTAATAGGATCACTTTGTTTGCTCTGTGGGGAATGAATTGGAGGATCCCAAGACCAGAGATTAGAATATGGAGAAGTAGCAGGAAGCACCCAGGTAACAGTGTGGTGGCCCAGATAGAGCGCTGACAGCACAGATGGAGAATGGGAGGTGATTAAGACACATACAGACATGAGGTAGACTAGAGAGAGTGTGGTGGTCGACTGGATTTAGAAAGCTGAGGCAAAAATAACTCCCTAGTTTCTTCCTTTTGAAAACGGGTAGAAGGTAGTGCCACTTACTGAGACAGGAAATACAGGTTTGGGAGAGAGCATGGTCAATTTAATGAACCTAGAAAAGATTAGGAGTATGCGACAACAGAATTGGAAGTCAGGTATGAAGGAATCTGTCTAGGTTGTATATGTGAGTAAAAGTGAATAGAGCTACGAGAGGCACAAGGGTTCTTTTCAGTTAAGACAGCACCTAAGCTGGGTGTGGTGGTGTGCACCTTTAATTCCAGCACTCAAATGGGAGGCAGAGTTTGAAATCAGCTGTTCTATATACTGAGTTCCAGCCTAGCCAGGGCTACAGAGCGAGACCTCTCAACAACGAAAATACAGCACCTAAGCACTGAGCCTGATGGCCCACACCTGTAATCCCAGCAGTTGGTAGTCAAAGGCACAAGTTTGAGGCTAGCCTGGGCTATATAACAAGACTTTTAAAAAACCAGCAGCTGTTGGGAGCTGGAGAGATGGCTCAGCGGTTAAGAGCACTGACTGCTTTTTCAGAGGACCCAGGTTCGGTTCCCAGCACCCATGTGGTGGCTAACAACCATCAGTATCTCCAGTTTCAGGGATCTGACACTTTTCTTTTGACCTCCTCGGGCATTGCATGACACAGGTGCACTTACATACATGCAGGCAATACACTCATACATAAAAATAATAAATGACAGACGGGTGTGGTGGTACATGCCTTCAATCGCAGCAGTTGGGAGACAGAGGCAGGTGAATCTCTGTGAGTTCCAGGCCAGCCTGGTCTACATAGTTCCAGGTCAGCTAAGGCTACAGGGAGACCCTGTCTCAACCTTCCTTCTAACCCCCAATAAGAAACAAAGGCTGGTGCTAGAGAGATGGCTCAGCAGATAAGAGCACTTGCTGCTTTTGAAGAGAATCTGAGTTCAGTTCTCAGCATTCATGTTGGATGGCTCACAACTGCCTCTAACTCCAGCTCTAGGGGATCTAACACACTTTTTTGGCTTCCTTGGAAATCTGCCTCATGTGCACATACCCACACACTGATACATACATATTAAATTAAAAAAGAAAACCACCAAGCACTGTGATCAGCATGGTCAGTGTGGCCCCTTTTGCAAGAAAGATAGACACACATATTCATGAAGTGTTCCATGTTAAAAAAAAAGCCAAGGGCTGTGGATTATACCTAGCATGCACAGAGCCCTGCATTTGATACTATCAGAACAAATGAAAAGCCTTAAAACAAACAAACAAAAAAATAGTGCCATCCTTCAAGAAGGCATAGTACAGTTATGGATACAACTATGTAGGAGCTGGAGAAATGGCTCAGCACATAAGAGCACTGACCACTCTTGCAGAGGACCTGGGTTGAATTCCCAGCACCCACATGATGGCTGACAACCATCTGTAACTCCAATTCCAGGGGATCCGACGCCCTCTTCTGACCTCCGAAGGCATTGCATGACGTGGGTGTACTTAGACACAGGCAAGCAATATGTTCATATACAAAAAGTAAATTTTTTTTTATATTTTATTATTTTTTTATCTTTTTGAGACAGGGTCTCCTTGTAGCTCCAGCTGTCCTGGAACTCACCATGTAGACCAGGCTGGCCTTGAATTTACAGAGATCTACCTGTCTCTGCCTCCCAAGTACTGGGATTAAAGGTGTACACCACCGCGCCCAGCTTATATTTTATTATTTTTATTTATGTGTATGAGTGTATAGCCTGCATGTATGAGTGTACCCGTGTCATGCAATGCTGCGGAGGTCAGAAGAGGGCTTCAGATTCCCCTGGAACTGGAGTTAAGGATGGTTCATAGCCTTCATGTGGGTGCTGGGAATCGAATCTGGGTCCTCTGCAAGAGCAGTCAGTGCTCTTAACCACTGAGCCATCTCTCCAGCCCCGTAAAATGAAATATTTTTAAAAATCTATATAATTACCTACAGTGCAGGGTAGTATGTAGACACCAGGAGGGAGCTACAGACCAGATTTCAGGGGGAATTCAGAAAAGAAAATGCTTTGATAGTGGCTTGAGTGTTCTGAGCTCAACAAGGTAGACTTTGAGTGCCATGCTAAGTGTGTAGTTTTTTAAATTTTATTTTTATTGTACATGTATAAGTGTTTTGCTTGCATGTCTATACGTATACCTGTGTCAAGCTGTGCCCTAGGAGGCCAGAAGAGGGTGTCAGAGCCCCTGGAACTGGAGTTAAAGATTTGTTATTCCCCTGTGGGTGCTGGGAACCAAACCCAATCCTCTGCAAGAGCAGCTACCAGTGTGAGTCCTCTCTTCAGCCCCACCTGTGTGTATACAGGCAAACAAATGCTGATGTAGAACAGAGGTGTGAATTACGTCTCTGATTACCATTTACACATTGCAGTTTGCATTCATGGTCTGCCTTAGAGTACTGTTCAACTTCGAGTGCTCACATGCATATTTAAGTCAATACAGTTTCTCTCTTTCTCTCTTCTCTCTGTCTCTGTCTCTCTCTGTCTCTCTCTCTCTCTCTCTCTCTCTCTCTCTCTGTCTTTTTGAGACACGGTCTCCCTGTATCCTCACCTGGCTTGGACTCACTATGTAGACCAGGCTGGCCTGAACTCACAGAGATTCGCCTGTCTCTGCTGGCAATTAAAGGTGTGCGCCACCATGCCTGGCTCCCTCTCTCTTTTCAATTATGTAATGTAAAGAGTTACAGATACAGCTGGAGAGAGGTCAGTGGTTAAAAGCACTGGCTGCTCTTGCAGGAAACCTCTTCTGGCCTCTGTGGGCATTGCCTTGTATGGGTGCACTTAACATACATGCCGGAAAAGCACACATAAAATACAAATAGATAAGTAAAAAAAAAATTTTTTTTTGATGGTCTTTTTGAGACAGGGTCTCCCTGTAGCCCCAGCTGTCCTGGAACTCACTATGTAGACTCACTATGTAGGCCAGATCTGCCTGCCTCTGCCTCCCAAGTGCTGGGATTAAAGGCATACACCACCACACCCTGCTTATGTAAAAAAAATTTTAAAGCCAACACCTACAGAGCATTTAGGACACAGATGTCTCATGAGCATACATTTTTTTTTTTTTGGTCTCTTTATTTTTTTTGAAACAGGATCTCCCTGTAGCCCCAGCTGGCCTGGATCTCCCTATATAGACCAGGCTGGCCTTGAACTCACAGAGATACCCCTGCCTCTGCCTCCCAAGTGCTGGGATTACAGGTGTGCACCACCATGCCTGGCAAGCATACATTTTTAAGCAGTTACAGATAGAGCTCAGTGTTAGAGCACTTACCTACCATGCAGAAAGCCCTGATGTTGGTACTCAGTACAAAACAAATTAATTCGGACCTTCTGAATTTTGATAAAGATTGGGACAATAGGGACAGCAAAATATTGTCCCCTGACCTCTGCATGTGTGCCTCGGCATGCTGGCATACACACAAACACATACATACACTCAATAATAATAAAGGACAGAACACTAGTTGATGTATAATGGCTTCTTGCACATTAACTAGATGATTCCTACTTTCGGGGAGCTACTTTTTGAGATGGAACCAGTGGAATGCTATAAATTGCTCTATAGAAAAAGCAAGCCAGGCATGGTATATGCTTATAATGCCAGCACTTGGGAGGGCAGAGGGAGGCTAGCCTGGACTACATAATAAGACCCTGTCTCAAAAACAAGTCAGATGTGCTAGCATAATGCCTTTAATTCCAGCACTCAGGAAGCAGAAACTGGCAGATCTCTGTTTGCTGTAGGCCAGCCTGGTCTGCATGGTGAATTCCAGGCCAAACAGAGCTACAAAATGAGACCATGTCTCAAAAACAAACCACAGCAACAAGAAAACCTCGAATTTCAGTGCTTTATCAATTTCTGGGTTGTATATATCCCCAATAGTAATGATCCCACGCAGCCAACCTGATGTCTGTAAGCTTAGAGATGCAGTTGGTTCTGAGGAACTGGTAGAGCTGGCTCTAGCAAACCACTGGGTGAGTCACACCTATGAAAAAAAATCTGAACATAAACCAAGAGCCTCTTATCAGCACCCTCTCCTGGTCTCCATTCTTTTCAGAAGACCATGATTCCAGGGTGCGTTGGGGATTGCTCATTATCCTGGCATTTCTTTCCTGTGGTTGCCATCTTCCAGGATAGATGAAGTTATCTGTGCTTTTTCTTTCTGACAGCAGCCCTAACTATCTGATTTCATGTGAAAAATGGCTAATGCAGAAGTGAGTGTTCCAGTGGGCGATGTGGTTGTGGTACCCACTGAAGGAAATGAAGGGGAGAATCCTGAAGACACTAAAACCCAAGTGATCTTGCAGTTACAGCCTGTGCAACAAGGGTAAGTGGCTAGAGATTTGGATATTCTGGGGAAAAGACTGAGGGGTGTAAAGGATGGGGAAGTTATGACTGTGTGGTTGCTTTGTACATCATGAACATTATCAGTCAGGGCTGGCTGAGTTTTATCCCAATATGTACTATATTATAGGGGTTTTTGTATCTTTTGAGACAGTCTCATGTAGCCCAAACTAGCCTCAGACTTTCTGTATAGCAAAGGATAACCTTGAACTCCTCATCTTCTTGCCTCTACCTCTCGAGTACTGGGATTACAGGCCAAGCTGTCATTTTAATGCTCACTACAGTAGTTGTCTGTTTCCATGTACCTCTCTCTGTCTCTGCATTTGAACTTGTTGAGGGTAAGTTACATGGCCCCTCATCTCATTCATCTACCCTCTTTAGCACAGGGGCCCAGGTGCATGTTTCTCAAAGGCATTGTCAAAATAGATTTTAAGCAAGGCAATTATAAAAGTTTTTTTTTTTTTTTGTCTTTTTGAGACAGGGTCTCCCTGTAGCCCCAGTTGACCTGGAACTCCCTGTGTAGACCAGGCTGTCCTTAAACTCACAGAGATCTGCCTGCCTCTGCCTCCCAAGTGCTGGGATTAAAGGCGTGCACCACCACGCCCGACCTTACAAAAGCATTTTTAACATAAGCTCTCAAATTCTCATGGATTGGTAAATTATCACACTTAGTCTATCAAAAAATATATATCATGGACTGGAGAGATCGCTCAGCAGTTGAAGAGCACTTGTTGCTCTACCAGAGGACCTGAGTTTGGTTTTCAGCACCCATGGCAGGGAACCTCATAACCACATGTAACTCCAACTACAGGGGAGCCAATACCCCCTTCTGGCCTCCACTGGTACCTGCACTCACATGCAGGTACATATGTACACACAGAGACACACACACACACATACATAAATAAATAAATTTTTAAAATATGTATATCAGCTGGGTGTGGTGGTGCACATCTTTAAGCCCATCAGTCAGGAGGTAGAGATAGGTGAATCTCAATGAGTTCAAGGCCAGCCTGGTCTACATTGTGAGTTCCAGGCCAGTTGGGGCTACAGGGAGACCCTGTCTCAAAAAACAAACAAAAAATGTTTATTTACTATTACTATATTACAATGTATTATGAAGGTGTTTAGAAGAAATATAGTACAAGGTTCTTACCAGTATGAGGCTTACAATCTGGTTGTAAAAGCAAAATTGCATGTATGTAAATAAGGAACACTTCATATAGGAAAAACTAAGAAGTATTGAGTGGTGTGATTTAGAATTCAAAGGATCACTATGGATTGGAAAGAAAACATGGAAAAAAATATGCAGTACCAGGGATCAAACTCGGGACCTCTTCCATGGTAGGCACATGTTCTACCACTGAGCTAAACCATGCTCTAGTGCTAGAGATCAAACCCAGAACCTCTTCCATCATAGGCATGTACTCTACCACTGAGCTATACATGTCCCAGTCTTAAGAGGTCATATTTTAAAAGATTTTTATTTGTTTTGTTTTGTTTTGTTTTGTTTGAAACAGGGTATGTTAGCTCAGGCTGTCCTAAAGTTTACTGTTCTTCTGCCTCAGCCTCCTCAGGGCCTGAATTTATAGGGGGATCTTTTTAAGAAGTTGCATTTATTTAAATATGTGTGTATTGTATGTACTTATTAGTGTGCATGTGTGCCTGTTTTTTTGGGACAGGGTCTTGCTATATAACCTTGGCTGGCCTGGATCACTGCTTCCTAAATGCTGGAATTAAAAATGTGCGCCAGCATACCTGGCCAGTTCTCCATCTTTTTTTTTTTTTGGTCTTTTTGAAACAGGGTCTCCCAGTAGCCCCAGCTGGCCTGGAACACACTATGTAGACCAGGCTATCCTTGAATTCACAGAGATCCACCTGCTTCTGCCTCCTAAGTGCTGGAATTAAAGGCATGTGCCACCATGCCTGGTTCTCCATCTTTTTTATTATTATTATTATTTTTATTTTATGTGTACATGTGTATTGCCTGAGTGAAGGTAAGTGCACCTGTGTTGTACAGTGCCCTCAGAAGACAGAAGAGGCTTTCGGATCCCCTGGAACTGGAGTTGCAGACAGTTGTTAGCTGCCATGTAGGTGCTGGGATTCGAACCCGAGTCTTCTGTAAGAACAACCAGTGTTCTTAACTGCTGAGCCATCTCTCCAGCCCCCAGTTCTCCATCTG